CATAATCATATAGTGGTTTCGGGACGTTAAACCCCACATATCAATCAATGAGAGGCTCTCTACCACCAGCAGGAACCGAACTGACCACTTTGGTATATTGTGTGCTGTTAAACACGTCAGCGTCTACTATCTACGTTTTACGGTGTGTCTAGTGACCTATTATACCGGGTGTTCAAAATTAAGCTTTATGATTTTTTTAAAATTAGGCGCTCGAAGGCACGTGAGAACCACTTGTGCAAATAAGTTAAGCGGCCAGGGGGACAGAAAGTTAGATGATAATTATCGCTGTCAGCAGCCCAATTAACTAAAATTTAATAATTAACTTTTTACTGGCTGCGGTAAGTTGGCATGTTTATATTGAAAAAATGTAGGCAGTGGTGTTTGTACACAGTTTCAGTTGGAAGATTTTTTCTAGCACGCCTGTGTTCCGAGATATCCGGCTCCAAAGTTTAATTGTCTTTCGCACGATTACGCATGCAAGAGGGTGAGGGTCCGCGCAAAGCTCCTCCCTAAAGTGACGCATCTGTTGCGTGTGGTGTTTAGTGTGTGAAGAGGGTGGAAGCGTAGGCATAGGTGATAGCAATTACCCTTGCCCTCTTCGGCCGGCGAAATCAAAATGTGACAGCGCGGTGCGCCATGAGCCTTACGCATGATCCTGATGAACGCGATAACAGGAGACCATTTTTCGCGACGTTTTTTCGTGACTTTAGATCACACTGAGACATCTTCTTGTGAACGCGTTAGCAGGACCGTCCTGCACTAGGGTGCCTCCGGTTAGAGCACAGCGTCTCTGCATTGAAGGTCTACCAAGGAAATCCACGTGGAGTCCTTTCGAGCTAATATGGCTGCTTCTGGCGTGAGGTATTCTACCAAAGTAAAAGTAGACGTGGTGCTTGCAATGGCTGAAATGAATGGCAACGCTTCGTTAGCAATGGAGCTTTACGCGTCTCGCCACCCACACCGTCCCCTTCCAACAAGGCCCACTTTCACAAACCTGTTTCGACGCTTCTGCACAACAGGCTCTGTCCACCTTCCGAGACGGACCAGGAAGGCAATCGTCGATGAAGACTTTGAAATCGACGTTGTCGCGTGCGTAACCTCGATGCCAGAGCTCAGCATCCGACAGATTGCCGATCAGTGCGGTCGCAGCATCGGAACAGTCACAAATGTTTTAAGAAAGCACAAGTTCCATCCATATCACGTTTACCTTCATCAGGACCTAAATGAGGCGGACTTTGAAAGGCGAGTTGACTTCTGCAATTGGGGCCTCATCAAAACTGATCAAGAAAATGACTTTTTGCACAGAATAATTTGGACTGATGAAGCTCGGTTTTGCCGAAATGGAAGTGTTAATCTTCACAACGCCCATTATTGGGCACAAGAAAACCCACACTGGCTGAGGCAGCACAAGCATCAAGTTCGCTGGAGTGTGAATGTGTGGTGCGGCATACTCGGGGACAGGATCATCGGACCTCACTTTTTTGAGGACAACTTGAACGGAAAGATGTACACAGAAGAAATATTAGGTGTTGTCATTGATGATCTTGTCTGCAGTCTTTCCCTGAATGACCTGCGCCAAGTATGGTTTCAGCACGATGGAGCACCACCACATTTTTCTACCAGGGCGAAGAACTGGTTGGACAGACGTTTTCCACAACAGTGGATTGGGCGCGCAGGAGCGATGTTTTGGCCACCAAGATCACCTGACCTTTCTCCGCTCGACTTTTTCCTTTGGGGCTACGTTAAAGATCGAGTTTACGTAACAGAGCCCAGCGATGTTAATGACATGAAGGACAGGATAACATCTGCCTGTGCGAGTATTCCTGCAGAAGTACTGCGCCGAGTCATCGAGTCGACGCGACAGCGGTTCATGCTTTGCGTTGCTGCCGAAGGCAGGCATTTTGAACACTTTTTGGGGCATTGACGTCTTGAGAGGTGAAGAGTTTCGATGAGATTTGTGCATGACCGAAATATGCTTATGTAGCAGCAGGAAATATGCGTTAGCAAGGATAAAACTGTTTCAGTTATTATTGGTGGAGTTGTTGCTCTTGTTTCAATAAAAGTTACAGTACTCGGACATCAGCAGTCACGCTATTCGCGTAGCCCAGGCAACGACCACGCATGCTTCTCTAGTGATTATTACGCACGCGCACTGGCATCCAGATTCTCCGCTCGCACCATTATCTCGGCATGGTATCTGCCACTATCGTTAGAGGCTCTGCAGTTGCGTGTTACGACACTGGTTGCAAGCGTTCTTCGATTTTTGATTTCGCCGGCCGAAGAGGGCAAGGGTAATTGCTATCACCTATGCCTACGCTTCCACCCTCTTCACACACTAAACACCACACGCAACAGATGCGTCACTTTAGGGAGGAGCTTTGCGCGGACCCTCACCCTCTTGCATGCGTAATCGTGCGAAAGACAATTAAACTTTGGAGCCGGATATCTCGGAACACAGGCGTGCTAGAAAAAATCTTCCAACTGAAACTGTGTACAAACACCACTGCCTACATTTTTTCAATATAAACATGCCAACTTACCGCAGCCAGTAAAAAGTTAATTATTAAATTTTAGTTAATTGGGCTGCTGACAGCGATAATTATCATCTAACTTTCTGTCCCCCTGGCCGCTTAACTTATTTGCACAAGTGGTTCTCACGTGCCTTCGAGCGCCTAATTTTAAAAAAATCATAAAGCTTAATTTTGAACACCCGGTATAAAGCTAAAGTCTTTCAGTATCTATAGCCCACACAACATCGCGATTAACCCTTTTTGCTCAATGAGCTTACGCGTAATTTAGGTTTTGCGACACGTAGTTAAACATTATCACTCATTGAGGGGCTGTCCAACTTTTATTGATGTTCTGACTCAAACTAGCAACAAAACGGCAGGTAGATTTATGAAGGATGAGTACGTCAGAGAGCTGGAGGTGAAGAAAGAAGCACTTGCAGAAAGGCGAACTAAGTGCGCAGCTACTTTGGTGCTGTAAACAGAGGGATCGGGTCATAGAACGATGTAGAAATGTTGAGGAATGAGCACTACGCGAATCTGAGATCGTATTCCTACAGCCACCAGTCACTACCACTGATGACCTCATAATAGTGCAATAGCTTTTCATTGGGCTTGCGTGATATTAGAGTAGACCAGTATTAGAATGACGCATACGTTTCATTGAAGTGAATAGCGAAAAATACACATAAAATGAAATAAAATAAACAGCAATTGATGCATTCGTGAGCCATGTAAAACACAAACAGACTAGGGCATGAATATTGTTTGCAATGTGGGACTAAATGACCCATTTCTTGCAGTTATTGGCATGCACATCAGGTTCGTGAAGGCATTCATTATTCCAGCGTCGTGCCTGCCCTATATATTTTCTGTCGCAACTTAGGAGCATACTGTAATAATCCTTTGATCGAAGTGAACAATCTTAAAAACTTGAGAGCTAAGATTACCAATCCACTGTCGTATAGTAACTCTCGATGCTTGTTCCTCCGCTTCTAAAAACTAGGACTTCTTAAGCACCAACTAAAAAACAAAAGCGCGACATCTCAGATCCAATTTCTTTCATAGAATACATATATTCGACGTCGTATAGAGGGCGCATGCGTCTTATGAGACCCATATTTTAAAAAAAAAAACGTGCTCATGGAGAATTGCAAGATTCATCTATAATGCCTATCAAAATCTTGAGTCACCTTCCTCCCTTATATGGCTACTAATTACATTCCACTTTTGAAACAACGTACAGCTATCACCAGGCTCCAGTTTTTTCCCGCTTCGTAACCAGCATTTTAATATTGATGCTAGAGAATACCTTTGTCCTTCTTCTTCCAGGCAAACCAGAGAATCACAATCATCAGCGGACGCCATACCTTGGATCTACTAACCTTTTCAGACACACTATTTTCCGCAAAATATTAGCGAATGGAATACACTGCCTTCAAATGTTTTTCCCGTACGTGGCGTTCCTGACTTCAAAAAATACATGCATGATGTCGTGTAAACGAAATTCTTGATATTGCCATGCTAGATTATGTCATCTCAAAATTTACACTGCGTTGCTTTGCATTTTTGTGCTTGAAACTGTTTCTAGAAATATATAAATATTTTCCAGAAATGCATATTTAATTATCCTAGTTAGTATGTACTTGTTTTTCCGTAGTACTATTTATTGAACTTGATGCATAAGTTGTCAATTTCATTTCACTTTATTCCACTTTTCATCCCTCCTGCTTGGCCTACGGACTGCTGTATGTACTGAATGAATAACCAAATAAGACCAGCTCAGCATATTGCACAAAAGCTTCGAAAGCGAAGCAAGGGTGCACAGTAAATCCTTGCAGGGATTTACTGTGCACCCTTGCTTCGCCCTCATTCCAGCTACCTCATGCAGAAACCAGTTTCCCAGAACGCGATCCGCACTACTTTGTCTCTGTTTCAACAGGCCCACATATCTCATTTACCTTATTTCATTTTATGTTCATATTTCGCCTTTCGCCTTCTCCCATCTGATTGTTAATCTTAATACGACGCGGCGCAAGCTACAAGTAATCCATTTTGTGAGTTTGCTCACCGTTCGTTGTCGACGGGTACCAGTTCCTCGTCCTTGTTTCGTAGTTTTCCCCACAAGAAGTAACCATGAACAGCGACTAACTAGTCCAATTCATCGCTCTCTTGAATACAACACCAAAAAAGGAAACAAAAAGAAAAACAAAATAAAATAAAACAAGAACACTGCAGGTGTACATATTGTGAAACATGAATAGCGTCCTATATTGGCTATATACTGTTACAATATGACAATACAAATATCAAATATTTAATTATACTTAAAAAATATTGGCGGTTAACTAATAATAATAATAATAATAATAATAATAATAATAATAATAATAATAATAATAATAATAATAATAATACTGTACGTTCTCTATCTTTGCGCCGCCTGTACTGAGGCCCACAGTAGGCTTAACCGTCGTTGTATCCCACTCGCAGTGTCCATTCAGTGCACGGACGCCAAGATAGTGGTGTACGTGAAGACGAGCCGTCCCTTCCACGGTCGCATCTACGCCATGGGACGCAGCGAGACGTGCAACACGAGCGTTCGCAACAGCCAAGCATTTCGGCTCGACCTCTCTCTCACTGGACAAGACTGCAACACACAGTCGATGGTACGTATGCTCTCTCCTTTTCCTCATCGGAAACGGACGGGGCTCCACCTGCGCTTTCCAACAAGCACTTGCAGATCTTATCCTGTGTGTGTCGTGGGCGTTGTTTTCTGTGACGCATACTGAAGCTACACATGTTTAATTACCGGATCGGCATAATTGATTCTCAGATGCGTTTGCCTCAGAGAGTGCTGTCGTATTTTTAACCGGCCTCTCTCTCATTGCCTAGTTAGGGTACGTAGATAGAGAAACCATTTTGAATAGTGCCAATGATACTTCGAAACAAAATGGCTGACTGCTGCCGGACCAGCATTGCCAACTTGCGTTATATGGTGATGACGTGGCCTGTTATAAAACATTATGGAAGATTTTACCAATGAAAATTGTAATGGTACACAAGAACAGCAGAGGAGTGCTACGAATAAACACATGTGTTAATTCGTACCTGGTTATCGTGTTTATTCGGACCTGGTACTGCTCGTGCCTGTTATATTTGATATTGCGTGGTTTGTGCCACGATATCTGTGTTACAAAGCCTACCCTTCAAGTGATTGTTCATAAGACTATTGAACAGCGTCTTGGAAACTCGCGTGTTTTGTGGGCCACGGGATTGACACAAGTGACGTAAGGTTACGATGGGTGAATAGGGAAGTAGAATTTTGAGTTTGTGAATTCCTGAAGTATGGGAACGTCAGTATACTGTAGAGTAAGAAAACTTGCTTAGAATGCGCTACGAAAAGAAAAAGTGGTTGCCGAAGCATAGGCGACATTCAGAGCGAGACTAGGCAGGAGGGAATGTCGCATAAGTATCCGGGCACGGCCCCATTCACCCCATTTGGTACCATCTGTTAACGCTAATGTCACAAGCAGAAGTTGAGTACGTGCCACGCAAGTTGCCAACAAATGACTCGACTTGCATTTATTGTCGTGCGATGTATGTGAGGGTTTTTTTTTTTCAAGAAAGAGCCAAACGCAGAATCCGAAACTATAGGCTAACTTTTACGGGAACTTAAACCATGCCTAAGTATCTTCAATTTATAAAACAGTTTTAATAAAAATGGGCAATTTCTTATTGTAACATGAGCCTCAAAAGGTAGTTTCTAATCAAAAACGAGCCCAGTACTCCAGCTGTTTCCAACAAACAAATTGAGCCATATTCATTAAACCAGCAGTGCGCCAACAACCGTGACCAAAACAACCAACATGGTCCCAACCAAAATCTTTTATTCGCGTCTTAGTTGCGTTGTTGTCGTGTTTGCATTCCACAATAAGGCTTTCTAGCACGAGTTGGCATTCACTGAACGACAAGACGTTCAATGACAAAATTTGATTTTAAAAAGCAAGAGGCTGACTTGCCCACTTTTTTTTGCCTCTTAGTGATTCTTTTCGACTTTAGCGCAGCACTATCTTGTCTTCCGTTCACCCCAACATGGTATATTGAAAATAAAATGAGCATGAAATAAAAATATTGAGCGTCTATTCATTTCCTGAAGAAGAAGAAATAGTTCGAAATGACATAGCACAAAACAAACCGGAACACTTTTCATGGCTCTCGATATATGCCAGGAACAAGAAAACACTGATGACAATGCATAATAGTGCGCCTTTTGCCAGGAAGGACCACTCGCTCTACAAGTCTAGTATTCACCATTACGCCCACGCGTCGAAGCACGGCACTGACAGAAGCACAAGTATGATATGTCACTTACATCGCAAAATATTGCTATACCGTACATTCGAACTGTTCACAGCTATTCATGTCCAAATCAAAAGTATCATCTATATGAGCCACATACAAACTTTACTCCTCAATGCTGACGATGATTGGCTATGTAGATTTTAGCCACAAAATAGATTTGGGGTCTTTAGGGAAGAGGAACATACAGGCAAAACGTTGTTTGAGCAGGCCTAACCATATTGTCAGTAGAAAAAGATGTGCGTTTTTCTCAGTTTCATCTAAAGTGCTTTTGGCTTTTCTAGGAAAAAAAACGCCTCATATGTAGTACAGCCATACTTACTTTAGCACACCAACACCCGCCACGGTGGTCTAGTGGCTAAGGCACTCGGCCGCTGACCCGCAGGTCACCGGTTTGAATCCCAGTCGTGGCGGCCGCGTTTTCAATGGAGGTGAAAATGCTTGCGACCCGTGTACTTAGATTTAGTGCAGGTTAAAAAACCCCAGGTGGTCTGAACTTCCAGAGTCCTCCGCCTTGGCGTCTCTCATAGGATATAGTGGTTTTGGGACGTTAAACTTTAACAATTGTTATTGTTAATTAACGCAGCAACGTTGATAAGAGTCCGGTGTGATCGTATTTTAATGTTTATCTTGTCATTCCGAGAGAATAAGTGTCTCCTAAGCAAATTAGTGCTGTGTACCGTGTCCGAAAATCGAAGCAGGACTGATAGTTGGGCTAGTTGGCGCTTGTTTATGTCTCTTCTCTTCGTCCCGTGAGATTGTGCGCTGGTACTGCCCATAATAAAATTCTGAAAATCGCGCCATTGTTATGCAACCTCAATAGACAAACAGTCTTGCATACATAGTACGCGTATGAAGTCACCTTTTGTGCAGCGCCTTCATTATTAAGAGGGAAGTTACCAAGCACTTTTACAACTTCACTTGGATTATAGCGGACGTGCAACCCACATCTGGTTAAAAGTAGTGTAAAGTTACTGCGAAAAGTATATTAGAGAACACAAATATGCTTTCAGATCAATGAAACCCTTTCGATTCAATTGCCCTGGTTGATATTAGCATTAGCCCAGAATGTTGTGAAAAGACGCAAGAGATATTGAAAGAAATGGTATAAAGGAAAGAACTAATTCTGGTTGGCTACCCTGCGCTAGAGCAAGGGAAATGAGAGGAAAAGTTTGCGACAAGACTGGAAGGCTCCAGAAATTGGGGCAGAGTTTTTGTGGTTTCTTCAAGCTGCAACACGTGAGACCATGATTCCAACTTCTCGTTCACGTTGACATCAGCAAACTTACAATGCCCAGCTGGTGATTCGTTCTTGCACAAAAATAAACGGAAAGTTGTACAGCGCAACAGATTTCGCATAATTTGTACGAAGATAATAGACGGGACCTTAATCGTAGAAGTAATAAGAGAAACAGCTGCGGTGATTAAAAACACACATAATTGCCCTATTTTAACGAGAAAATGAAGTATTTGTAGTGTTTTATGTGTATCATTTTTTTGTAGCCTTTACAATAGCAAGTCAATCGGTTACTGCATTGCACTTTCATCTACATGCCAAAACTAATAATACGGTTCTTATGATGACCACACAGCAGTGAGGCCGCCCAATAGAGGCCTTAGTAAATCCCCCTCAGTAGCCGACTCTATATGAAACGACAGTCATTACAGCTTTCGCATTTTGCTGTGACAGTTATCCGTGGATATTAAGTACTGCTGCAGCCTTCACTACCTTTAGCTAACTGTCTCACTGGACGAAATTTCCTACTTCTCTTCTGATCCATTCCAGGGAGGCGTGTACACGAACACGGTCGTGCTGCAGCACCACAACGTCGTGCTCACCAAGGCCGACAAGGTGTACAACGTGCGCTGCACCTACGAGACGTCGTCCAAGAACATCTCGTTCGGCATGATGCCCGTGAGGTGAGTGATCGAACGCGCAATCCTGCTCATCTCTGCCCGCTGTGTCGCATTGCCGTCGGCAGGCCTCAGGCGGTAACGGGAGCAGTGATCTCGATTTCAGAGACCCGGACACCACCCAGATAACGGCCTCGCCGGAGGCGCCACTGCCCAAGATCGTCATCTTTGGCGTCGACGGCAGGGAGGCGTCCACGGTCAGGATCGGCGATCGGCTCACCTTCAGGATCGAAATACCCGAGACCAGTGAGTGCACGCGGTGGAACGTTTCACCATCAGCGTCATTTATCGAACCCTTAAAGACCTTATACAAGACATTACATAAGAGGGCGAGGGGAGTAAACAGATAAAAGGACATGTCATTACACCAATGCAGTGCCGAAAGAATAACAGGGAAGAAAACAAGCATATCAAGAAGTGTATACTTAAGGACTCGTTTTTCCTTGTTTGACACAACATAATGAGATCCAACAGACAATAATGCCAAGTAAAGTATGGGGGAAGTTATTAGACCGAGTTGTTATGTAAATGTCAAGAAAGAAAAGTGGGCGAAAAAAGAACTTGCCGTGGGCAGGAAGATATATATATATATATATATATATATATATATATATATATATATATATATATATATATATATATATATATATATATATATATATATATATCGTTTTTCTTACTATTATGTTCATAACCTACACACACTTACTGGCGGTCTCAAGCATTTTTTTTTTGCTGAGAAGCTTCATACGGTCAGCATCTGTTAGAACGAAACCCAGTAGCACAAATTAAATTTCATAATGGGAGTCCAAAATTCAGTCATGATATGCTTCTCGAAGCCTGATGTCCAATACCCTTCAGATATGCCCAATATGAAATGTGGGAAAGGCCTTCTTCCAAATGGAAACGTTAGCACACATTTTGTTCAACCTTTACCCCCCCCTTCCCCCTGCTGCAACCTTATTCGCTGTCTTGGCCCTTGCGGAAGAATAGATTTCGTGACTGTGGCCCGCTAGCTGAGGTGGCTTTGAAACCACTGAGCTATATAAATAAGGTAACAAATATCAATAGCCTGAGATGGATTTTGTTTATGTTAGCTTAATGCTGATGTGCAGATGCTGTCGACTCCCAAAACTGAGTGATAGCAGAGTTGGCTCAATATATTTATTAATTGTCTTGATACAGGGTCCGCCTTTACAAAAACTAATAAACTAAACGACAAAGTGCGTTTAGGTAGGAAATATTGTGATTAACCTGTTAGTATCCAGTATATGCGTGCGTTCATGCCCTATTGTTTTTGCTGTTTTAGGTGTTTTTAGGCGTCTAAGAGAAAAAAAAATCTCGCGTTGCTTAAGAACATTACATAAGAATGATTATGTCGGCCAGATAGGTTAAGTATGGGGTGGAAAATGAGCAGTGTGAAGCACTGGAGCGCGGAAAGACAGGCGAGGAACGAATAACTCGGGAAGCGGTAGAATGACGAGTATAAGCGCTGACTACCAACTTGCATGATTCATTTGACACAAAATGCAAACCTACTTAAATACACAATGCGTCTACCAATCATGCCATGTGAAGCACGAGCCACCTGTATATACAATATGACATGTCGGTCATCTAGTTTACAGGTTTGCTGCACTTTACACATTCTGATATAGTGAGTTGGAAATAAGGTCTGTAAAAATAACCCTGTCCTTTGATCAGGACAATTATCAGGATGTGTGTATAGGTAGCATTTCAGTAACAGCACCCATCGTAATATATCCGGCCATGTGAAAGCGATCAACAAAGAAATAATATGCAGAAAAAATAGTGACAATTCATTTATTTTACAGCTCCTTATGGCATCTTCGCACGGAGTTGCATCGCCATGGCTAAGGATGCGAGGAGCACGTTCGAGATCATTGACGAAAGAGGGTACGACATCTATATGCGCCATTACTTTACCTAATAATTTAGTTGTTATGACTATACTTTTACAATTACTTCAGTTGTTATTTACTTAAGCATGAACATCGACAATACATTAGGCACTCTTTGTATCTATCAAACAGCTGCCCTGTGGATCCTTCAATATTCCCCGGCTTCATCCAAATTGACAGTAGCCTTCAAAGTTCCTACGAGGCGTTTAGGTTCACTGAATCCTATGGTGTCATCTTCCAGTGCAACGTGAAGTACTGCGTCGGAAGGTGTGAACCGGTGAGTGATTGTCTTATTCTGCCCTCTTGTATGTCACAGAAACGGCGAAAGCCACGGTGTGCAAAGGAAAAAGGAGAGATAAACAGAGTGAAGAGTATAAAAAGGACGCTCCGTTTAACTGATGCACATAGTCGCTTACTCTACCCTTTCGTCTTGTGACTAGCTGCTGACGACTCTCTTAAACAGTTTATCCAGAGAATAGCTGTACGCCATCATGACACACGGGAATAAAGGAATTGAGAGCAAGGACGACGATGGAAACTAAGCAAAAGACATTTATGGAAGTTGCGGACCGAAAAGACCCAATGCAATCTGAGAAGTTCCGGTACTAAGGGTTTTTTAAAGTCAAACCGAAAACAAGCGATTTCGAATATAAATATGTATGCACATGTATCTGTGTGTCCGGGTAGCTTATTTTGAATTCCACGATGCGATCGAATGCGAGAATGAAGCGAGTGGGTATGGAAGGAATCGTTCACTCGCAAAACTTGAGTGCTTTTTACAGCGGGAGCTACGTCTTTCCGCGTGGTAATCACAGAGGCGTACGCCTTTGCTCGCATGATAAAATAATGGCAGATCCCACGTACAGTGGAAATTGATGATATGAGAAGTACAAATGGGGAAGGTTGATATGTCCCTTTGAAATCGGCAAAACGTTGCCAAGCGGACGTAAATTATGGCGTAAATGACTTCCATATAATGATTATAATGTTTCGACATGCGATTTACCTTTGTCGTCCATTCGCGTCACGGGATTCGGCATATGTGGAGCTAGGGAAATGGCCGCCAGCATGCATGCTATGGGTGTAGCATGTAGTCATGTTGTTACATGACACACATTTATAGATTACCATGTTTGGACCTGTCATTCACCTTCGTCGCCAGTTCGCGTCACGTAATACCAAATTTGGTATATGTGAAGCTAGCGAAACGGCCAAAAGCGTGCTATGAGTGTAGCATGTAGTCATATTGTTACATGACACGCATGTATTGATTATCATGTTTGGACATGTCATTTACCTTCCTCGTCCATTCACTTCACGCAATACCGAATTTGGCATATGTGTAGCTAGCGAATCGGCCGCAAGCGTGATATGAGCGTACAATGTAGTCATGCTGTTACATAACACGCATCTAATAATTATCAAGTTTAAACTTGTTATTTACCTTCCTCGTCCATTCACGTCACGTAATACCGAATTTGTTATATGTGAAGCTAGCGGAACGGCCGCGAACGTGCTATGAGTGTAGCATGTAGTCGTGTTGTTACATGACTTCCATGTCGTTATTATAATGTTTGGAGGTGTCATTTACATTCATCGTCTATTCACGTCACATGATACCGAATTAGGTATATGTGGAGCTAACGAAACGTCCGTGAGCGTGAGATGATCGTAGCATCAATTCATGTTTTAAATGACACCACATGTCATTATTATCGTGTTTTGATGTGTCATTTACCTTCGTCGTCTACTCACGTCACGTGATACCAAATTTGGTATATGTGGAGCTAGTAAAAGGGCCGTGAGCGCGCTATGATTGTAGCATGTAGTCCTGTTGTTACATGACACCACATGTAATGATTATGATGTTTGGCCACTTCATTTACCTTCGTCGTCTATTCGCGTCACATAATACTAAATTTGGTATATGTGAAGCTATCGAAACAGCCACGAGCGTGCTATGAGTGTAGTCTGTAGTCATGTTGTTACATGACACCACATGCCATTATTATCGTGTTTTGACGTGTCATTTACCTTCGTTGTCTATTTACGTCACATGCTACAAAATTTGGTATATGTGGAGAGTATATGTGGAGAACGGCTGTGAGCGTGCTATAGGCGTAGCATATAGTCATGTTTTACATGACTTCCATGTCAATATTATCATGTTTAGGTGTGTCATTTATCTTCGTAGTTCATTCGCGTCTCGTAATACCAAATTTAGTATATGTGAAGATAGCAAAATGGCAGCGAGCGTGCCATGAGCTATAGCATGTAGTCATGTTTTTACATGACACCACATGTCATTATTGTCGTGTTTTGATGTGTCATTTACCTTCGTCGTCTATTCACGTCATGCGTGTAGTCATGTTGTTACATGACATTGTATGTAATGATTATCTTCGGTGGACATGTCATTTACCGTCGTCATCCATTCGCGTCACGTAATACCAAATTTGGTATGTGAAGCTAGAGAAACGGCCACAAGCGTGCTATGAGCGTAGCATGTAGTCATGTTCTTACATGACTTCCATGTCATGATTATCATGTTTTGACATGTCATTTACCTTCGTCGTCCATTCACGTCACGTGATACCCAATTTGGTATATGTGGAGCTAGCAAAACGGTCGCGAGCACGCGATGATCGTAGCATGTAGTCACGGTGTTACGTGACACCACGTGTAATGATTATCATGCTTGGACGTGTTATTTACCTTCGTCGCTCGCCCATTCGCGTCACTTAATATCAAGGTTGGTGCATGTGGAGCTAGCGAAACGGCCGAGAGCAGGCTCTGAGCGTAGCGTGTAGTCATGTTGTTACATGACACGCATGTAATGATTATCATGTTTGGACATGTCATTGACCTTCGTTGTCCATACGCGTCACGCAATACAAAATTTGGTACATGGCAAGCTAGCTAAACTTCCGCGAGCGCATTATTAGCACGGAATGTAGTCATGTTCTTACATGATACGCAATATAAAAACCTACAAGCACGAACCATTTACACTAGTCAGTGATTTCAACGGGAACATTATCGCCCTTAATACCTAGCTTTGTCATCGCCTATTTATGTCACTGTATGTGACTCAATTTACATGTATAAAACAACGCTCAGTAAACTTATGCTCACTCACCCACACGATACCTGGAGCTTTGCTGACTCGTCATGATTCACTTCGTGGAGATGCGTGGATATTTATAAATGTATTTCAGGAGAGTGTTATGGCAAGATATGACTCCAGATATATTTTTCTTTGCTCTTGCATGATAGTTTGCGTCATGAAGTCCTCAATAACAATGAAGTAAGAGAATATTCACGCTAGAACAATGTCTAATTACAAACGCAATGCTCACACATCATATACTGTGTCATATATCAAATACGTTAAATGTGTCACGCAAGAAACAAGAATTTGTGCTTTGCAGACTAGTTCATCACGCGGTACTTCATATAGAAAGCGATCACACAACAATACTGGACACTTGCCCGCACTTCAAACACAGTTATCACGAAGCGAGAGCAGCAGCGCGAAACGTGTCACCAGAAGTGTCCGAATGCAAACAATATTTCTTAATGCGAATCAGTCGTTTTGATATCGCTGACTCTTCCACAAACTACCTTAGGACGTGTTCAGCGATGTTCTGAAGACACAGCAATCCAGCTAGGGATATCGGCTTTCTGTCCAACCTAATTAGGTGTTTAGAAAATTTTTGCCGGGGAACAGCCTTATTTTGAATAGGTAGAAGAAGGTGGTCCATGTATTTTACTACCTCTTTGCAAGTGTGTGTTGCATGTTTAGTTTTTTTTTCAACTCTATATATAGGGTACGTAGTGCCTATACGAAGTGTATGAATTACTGTCTTGGCAGAACTGGTAATCCTAATTTAAATAATTAAATCGGTTTTTTTTTTCTGTCCTCCCTGCTTTTTCTCTTGCGTGAAATAGCAACGGCGAAATTCCAAATACATGCTCGGCAAAAGGTATGGCAGTGGAAAGTTAGGAAAGATACAATGAACATACATTTATTAAAGCAGCGTGTTGGGCTTGCTCGTACATAATTCTGGTGTGCTACAGCACAAAAGAAAAAAAATGCAAAGTGGACGAAGCACAAACGATGTTGATGAGCGCTAAACTTTGAACAACGTTCAATAAAAAAATTCACGTACACACACACACACACAGACATATATATATATATATATATATATATATATATATATATATATATATATATATATATATATATATATATATATATATATATATATGTACACTGTCTCCCACAGACGTCATCCACTGCAGATACGCAGGTATAGGTAATCTCTCTATCGGTGAGCGGTATAGATGGCACGCTTACACATATCTTCCCCATATAAGAATGCCCTTTGATTCTATGATATTGCTGGTGCTTCGCGTTTTGCTCTTCTTAATGATAAAAGTTAAAATAAAGTCGGGAGGGCAATCCTGGCATGCAGGTGAGACAACGGCTATAGCACAGAAACTTTCCTAATCTTTTCTGTCACGGGCGTCAGACGCCACAGGTCTGCGTCACAAAGCACAAGAGGGCCTTTGTTGATTGTGCAGAAGTGGTGGCGTACCAAATTCCTTTCAAGAGTGGAAAAGTGTATATGTTGGACACACCGGGAGATCCGTAAACGAGCATAAGAGAGCGTAATTACATCGAAAAAAACGCTCATTACGACGAAAATTTGGAAGGTTTCCTTGCTAGCCATTGTATAACCTGCCAGGAGTGCTCCCCTGAATTTAATAACACCTCATAAATTAAGAAAAGCAAAAGACGAATCACCCATGAAATCATAGAGTCAGAGCGCATCTCCTATCTGGGGGAGCGTTGCGTATGTGGTTCATCTCTGCAGCTCACAGATAGAGAGAGGGCCTACCTACGCATGGGCAGTGGATGACGTCTTTGTTGGACAATATATAGAGATTCCTGAAATTTTCCAATAAAGGTGGTTGAAAGATCAGTGCTCGTCGACGTTATTCCTGTTCCGTTCATTGTGTGTTTTTTTGCGCTCTAGTGCCCCAGAACCTGCTTTTTTGAGCATTTGATAATCTGAATGGCGAATGGTCTCTTGCACTCGTGTCCGCGCGTACCGTTAATTTCTCTGCATCTGACGATCGCAAACGAATTTTCTCCGCTTGCACTAGAGGGCAGCCTAACTAAGCCAAGCTGTTTGACCACTTTGCTTTTCTGTTATCGTTTATTTCATCTTTGTTTCTCTCTCTTTCTGGGCACTGCAAAGTCGTACG